TGTTATTTTGAACGTCTCGTAAGGGGGAATCAGCACTTCATCCTCATCCAATTTTGAGTAGCTTTTGATGTTTGCACCAAAACAGGTCTTAGTGTAAAAGCAGGTCTCTCTTCCAAAAGTGATCTGATCTGGATCTGTACTAGAGGATGCAAAATAACCAAAGCGCATTTCATGGTTGACTTCACCTGTATATTTGTTCTTGGTTCTCCTGTAGGTGGTTTGACATGGCTTGGTATTGTTATCCTTAATGACCTGAAGGGCAGAAGTGATCCAAAAGTGTAAAGCGTGGTATGGGAAGTCCTTAGAGGCGTATTTAGCTTTACCGTCTCTGACCATTGCATTAAGCAGTCCATAGACATTGGGAAATTCTTGTGAGTAAACATAGACTGCTTGGACTTGCTCTAGGGTTAATGCTTTGTCCGGACGTTTTTCATACTTTTTTTTTGCGAAGGGGCCTGCAACCTTCCAAGCATTTTTAAATGGGTCAATGTTGTTCTCTCTGGGGAAGTAAACGTTCTTGACGACTTTAGCCATTGACTTCTTGCAGCCATCGTACATGTCGTCAATTGAATTTCCCATCATGTTCAGTGGAGTTGATCGTTTGGACTCCTAGGTAATTTCAGAAAGAAATAAAATATTATCCTAAAACCAAGACAAATATCTTAAGAATTTGAATCAATAAATGTCTCTTACCATTGCAAAAGACTGAATCACCAGACAAAGCGTCAAAGTCAGCACAGTGGTCTCCATGTCTGTGAACTAAAACAGAAAGAAGAATGTAAAACAACACAGAGTTATAGAGTAAACTTGATGCTTTTACCTCAGGTCCAGTCTGGTCTCTGTCTGCAGATCAGTGCAGCTCTGCTTGAGAAAAAGTGTAACAGTTATTCCGTTCCACCTTAAGTTGAGTTCACGTTGTTTCATTTGGTCACCAAAGCTCATCTGTGGCTTTATATAGACAATTGTTTCCTTCCTTTTTTTTTTTTTTTCCAACCATCAACCATAATTTCTCAACATTAAGCTCTTCATAAAAGAACCTCAAACATCAACAGCTAACCACAATACCCCTGTAACATACATGATTTCATCCACTTGCTGCTTCACCCTACCCCGGTACAGGGGCAGGGTGAATCAAAAAAATTTCCCAGTAAGGACCCAAAGCAGTTATTTGAAACTTAGTAACAATTTTGTATGGACAACACACAGCATTACTTACTTATAACAAAAAAGAAACTATGCTATCATTAGTCTGTGTTACAGGCTGAAAAATTACTTTTCTGATTCACTGTGCCCTGGTCTCCCCTATTTATTCAACTTAATTTGGAGTTAATGTAATAGACGCATCAAGAATCTCAGACTTCCGGTCATTGTGCAATGCATACTGGGAAGGATTTTCCGAAAAAGTGAGCATCAAACTGCCATGTTTGTTTTCCCAGTGGGATACGTCTCTTGACAAAGCCGATCTTTTCTAGTCTTTTGAAACATATTGCTTTGATTCTGGTTCTGATATTGTCATATTTTAGTTTTGGGATTCGGACATCGTTAATTGTGTGGTTGTTGGATCCTAACAGCAGAAAACGGCTCAAGAAATGTGTTTGCGAACTCCATAGATGCAAAAGGGAATCAAACCTGTGTGACTGCAAACCTCTGTTCAAACTGTTTCCCTTCCCAACGGAATTGAAAAATAGTGAAAGGTGAAGGCGATGGGCAGGATTGATCCACGGGAAAGCCGAAAAAGGAAACCTTTGACTGCCTAAATCATCCCGAGTTTGCAGCGAACATTTTGTATGTGGACAAAACATGAACTAATGCTTTGTTTTTTCAAAGGATAGAAACAAAAATGAGACAAACTAAATCATATCTGAAGGAGCAATGCAAGAAACTCAATGTTCAAATAATTTCATATTGTCAACATAAAACTTTTGTCACTTGTAAACTCACTCACAGTGGGAACAGGAACCGAAACTTTTACTCAAGTAAGAGTTATGTTACTTCAATACAACAATGACTCAAGTAGGAGTAAAAGAATGCTGCTAGAAAAGTACAATTTAAAAAAAAAAAAATTACATGAAGAGTATTTTCAGCATAAGACTGATAAGACAGAGAATGCAAGATTACCCAAACATATGTGTATGAAACAAAAGACAACTCAAAACTTAGAGAAGAGGAAGACATGTATTTTCATAAACTAAAAAAAAAATCCTTTATTTCAACATGAGCAGTCAACACATTTTGATACTAACCTTTTAGTTTTAATTCTCTTAAATCTGATACTTCTCTAAAACGATTCAAGAAGGAAAGTATAAAATAATAATAACAGGAATGTTTTGTAGACCTACTTAAAGAGCCCATATTACGCTGTTTTCTATGTTATAATGTTTCCTCATCACAAACATACTCAAAGTTGTGTTTTGTTTCATTCACTTTTAACACATTTAACACACAAACCTGCACTTTTTTTTTTTTTCAAATATTTTATCAATTTTCAGATAAAAAATATTTACATGAACAACTGAACACATGAACATAAGTCATATAACCTATAACCAAATATAACCAAAAAAAAAAAAAAAAAGAGCAACAGGCCAGTTCACACACTCACACACCCATGCACGTTTACATATTTAGTAACAACAACAACAACAACAACAACAACAATAATAATAATAAAATAGAATTAATTAAAGAAATAATGATAATAAGGACAACAATAAAGACAAATAATATCATCGCCATCATCATCACCACCAATGCCAACAATAACAATATAAATATACTTCATTCCTACTTTTTTTTAGATAAAAACCTGCACATTTACTCTGAGTTCTTTTCACAAACAGAAAACCTCGTGATGTCATGTGGTATCACAGGGAGTGCTCCACTGTGTTTTTTAAACTCCATACACCTTCACCAGAATCATTTGGATGATTTGATGATTTTTCAGCCCTGGAAATGCTAATCTCTACAGAACTAAAGGTAAACATAGCTTTTAACTTGAAAACTACCACTTCATGACAGCACAAGGTGGGACGGAGCATGTTGAGCTTTGGATATGAAGACAGACTAATAATAAAAAGTTACTCAAACATGTGTGAATGAAACAAAACACAACTTCGGGTTTGTTTTTGATGAGGTAACAACATTCTAACATGACTTAAAGCTCACAAGAATCAATTTTGCATCATATAGGACCTTTAAAAGCATCTGTGAAGATTCAGATCTCATTGAAGAATATATGTATAATGTGAGTTTAAGATTTTATCCTATTCAAATGCAAGTGAAATATAGTTCATGTATGATTTATGTGTGAGACTTGCCACTTGTCAGTTTCTTCCTGTTAGAGCCACATTCACCTCTGCTCTACTTTCAGTTTGTATTCTTCTAACTGCAAAAACCACAACCGCTCAGACACATTTGCAGGTCAGTAATGCTGCATCAAGAGTAGCAACAGTACGGTCAGCAATACTTATATTTAAATAGAGAAATGTATCCTCTGCCTTTAACTCAGCGTTCAATGCAGCGGCTGCATAACAAGTTTTTCGAATTATGACTTAGTATGGTGGAATAGTACTTGTAAATATTTATCCATCGAGTGGCAGTTTGTGGGGGGGAAAGTTGTGAAGAAAAGGAAGTAGCAGTGAGTTCTCTCCTTAAACTCTAATCTTCATTTAATAAATAATGAATGACTCATAAAATAAAGGCGTTGTCATCTGTTTTTTATTAGTCAAACCATAATTATTTATTGTGCAATTTAGACAAGCTTGGACCTGATAAACATTATGGAAATTATTAACAGTTATGGAATTATTTCTTTTTACATCTGTCTTATACATGAAGGTGCCTGTACTTTTGCCTATATCTAACTCTTTTTTACTCCCTGTAGAAGCTTCATATTAAAGAGCTGAACTCTTCCTCCAATTTGGATGTATACAGTAAAGTTTAAACTGAGAGTTTGCACTTTAAGACCATATCTATGATGTAACTGGTGTTGATGTAATAATCTTTGGTTATATAATATATATATAAAAATAGAAACTGTTTCACTAGCAAGGACCACACCACAACAATGGAATATGATAAAGATGTTTTTGATGGTGGCTGGAGGCAGACTCAGGGTGGGAGTATAATCTCCAATCCAAAATGGTCACGCAGCTGAATTGACTGACGCAGACGGTGTTGTCTGGATAGGCCGTATAAATAGGGCTTCTGGGTAACTGAAGGCGTGGTTGAGATAAACTGTGGTTGGCTGGAGAGGAGGTTGAGGCGTGGTTCAGCTCCTGAATCACAGTTAATCATACTAACTCCATTTGTGTAATTACCAGGTAGGATCCATTGCAAAAGAAAATTCTGTTTTGTCAGACGTTTTGCCACTCATTCAAGCAGCTTCTTCAGTTCTGGTCAGATTGCCAGTGGACACTGCCTTAGTGGGAACAGATCTTAGCCAAAGAAAATAAATTGTTTGACAGGGAAGTTAAAGAGGCTGTTCTTGTTAGGAAAGACAATCTTTGAACAGGAATGGGAGGTTTAGAAATCCTCTGTCTCCTATTTACAACTCCATCCCCAGACCTAAACCAAAACAAAGAAAATAATAATGATAGCTCAGAGGTGAGAGCAGCCATCGGGGGCCTGAACGATGCTGATGTAACTGAGGCACAGTTCACAGTGTAGATCAACAGACCAAAGGTTACAAACAAGTAGGTGTTAGTTTCAGTGCAGGTGGTTTCAGTCCTCCCATCAGACAGATATAAGTCTATTCTTTGTAAGTATTTTTAGTTTACAATCTAACTCTGAAAATACATTGCAATTTTCTCTGATCTGTCAGATTATTCATCTTGTTTTCAGATTTATTATCCACTTACTAGTTCTGAGACAGTTTAATTCTAGTCTAGAGGTAGTTTATTTTAAGATAACTTGACAAGTACAATTATCATTCCATGCAACAAGATAATTACACTACAGTATTTTCCGCACTATAGAGCGCACTGGATTATAAGGCGCACTGTCACTGTCACTGGTCTATTTTCAAACTTTTTTCACATATAAACTGCACCGGACTATAAGGCGCATTAAACGAAACACAACAGTCAGTCAAACTTTATTTAACACTTTCACAATAACTCTCAACTTTGAAAATAAATACTGTCTGAGACGCAAAATTGTTAGTGTATTCACAATAACTCATAATTGTTCAAATAGCTGGGCGATTACGGTGTCCAGCACGCCCACATCCCTCTGTCATTATCCGAGTCAGTGTGGTTACTGTTCCCAGGCAGTTCAGTGATGATTTCGGTCTTGGTGAAAGCTCGGACCACAGTTGATACTGATCCTTAGCCCAGGCATCCACGATCCGTTAGCAGATTGTAAGTCGATTGTAAGTCGCTCGGCGCTGTCTCTCTGTCTTGGTGAATGTGTTCTCCTTCTCTCAATCACTGCTCCCACGCAGCTCACACTTTCACTTTATAACAGCCTTGAGTTTAAAGTGGGCGTTGTAAGCGTGTCTCTTGACAGGTGCATTTTGATATTAAAAGGAATCACAGTATATATTACTCCGTGATGCTCCTGACTACGGAAGCCGTAATGTTGCAAGTGGAGCGGCTTTGTAGTTTACTAAAGTCGTATTAAGACACCCCAATAAATTCATTCATAGGCGCTCTGGATTATAAGGCGCACAGTTGTTTTTGATGAAATTAAAGGCTTTTATGTGTGCCCTATAGTGCGGAAAATACGTTACTTTTAAGTCATTTTCTGGTAGATTTTAGTGTTTATATCTTGAGCTTTTTGCAGTGTATAAATGAAACTCAGTATGCTTATACATCATTTACTTATTTATTTGTCACGAATGCCCAGTTGGCAACACTTGATAACAAAAGTACACAACTCCTCTTAACTCCCCCACTTCTTGTGTGACTACATCAGCCATAACCCCTTGTTTCTGCATTTCCGTCTCCAACCACAACAATCTGGCATCGGGATCTTCATCGGAAAACTGCAATAGCGCCCCCGAATTTCCTAAAACTTCAATGCATTGATTTAGCATTAGTGTAGCTTTACCCTTCCCTTCTTTAGACCTCAACAAAGCATCTATCGTACCTTTGTCCACTATCATATCAATACTTTTGGGACTATAGTGGCTGAGTAGTTGCGTACAATCCATTTCGATAAATCTAAGCCGAGAAGAGGCATTGTTCGCTTGAATCGGGTTTCTTCTGAAGTTTTCTTGCATTAATTTTACAGCAATAGGTGAGATGTCTGCACACGTGACTTGGACGGGTGTAGAGGAGTGTTTGTAAATGCCAGGGCCCAGTCCAGACGTGCCACAGCCAATGTCCAGTATTTGAAAAACGTGATCGGGGCTGGGTGTAGGTTGGGATAATAATGGCAGAATGATGTGGCGAACAGAGTCAAAGCCAAAGAACCACTCAAAGTTCTTAAAAGTAGGAGTCCTGCTGCTGTTTTCAGTGTAGAAGCGGTCCCACGTTGATTTCTTGTCCATGTTTTCGATAAGTTCAGCTGTGGGCAAAAATAGTACGGTTAAGAATCAGATGAATACAAATGTGGTAGTGATAATAATTTAATAATAACTCTTCAACAAATATGTCAATAAAGCAGTTTTGATAGGCTACCACGTACTGCTACAAACGTTTAGTTAGGGCTGCTCGATTATAGAAAAAAATCATTATCACGATTATTTTGGTCAATCTTGAAATCACAATTAATTAATTTTGTTACACGATGCATTTATTCAGCGTTTCTCTCCCTCTCAAAAAAACAAAATAAAAAAAAAATAAAAAAACTTTGTTATTAATAATTTATGCCAAACTTTCAAATTGAAAATAATTATAGGCTACAAATCTGTACCTTAGAGCAGTTTTGCAATGTATAAAACATAAAATGAATAAAACATACTTTGAACATGAAATAAGGCACAGAAAAACATAAATGTATCCAAAATAAACTATATATCTAGCTGTACTACAAGCTCTATATGTAAAAAAATAAATACATATACTTATTTATATATAAAATATCCCAAAATAAACTTTGTTAAGCTTTATTGTTTCAACTCGATTATATGAGTTTGGAGATTGTTTGACACACAAATTGAAATCGAGATCAAAATTCGATTATCTGCACAGCCTAATTTGTGGTTGAGTTGTGTGGACCATATCTGTGTCTTTTTATTTTATTTGTTTTACTTATTTACTCCCATTTTATGACTTTTATGGTTCTACTTTCATTTGATTTTACAGATTTTATTGTTTTAGGACTGGTATGACCAAATTTGAGCACTTTAGGAACTGCTTTGTTTGTAAAATGTGCGATATAAATATTAATAAATAATTTGGATTTGACTGCAATAACTTCTGTACTTCACTTCCTACTATAAAATCTTTCTATTCTAATCTTTTTATTATTATTACTGCTGCAGCTTAAGTAATTAATTAACCATGATATTTCTCTTCCCTTGTGTTGGTTTAATTGAAAAGCACTTTAGTCACCTTGACTGTTGTAAAGCAGTGTTTCCCAAGTGTTTTTTTCTGGGGACCCTTATTTTAAAAGTCACAAACCTTCACAACCTGAGTTAATAGACATTATTTGTAAATCACAAAATAAAGGTGGATTTGACCATTATTGAATATTAATGAGGATATTTTATTGTTGACTGAGTGATTGTGCTTTTAGTGTCAATTCTTTTAGTGTCAATTAGTATGACACAAGTTTTAAACAATGAAAAACAGTCATTGAAAGGAATAAAAGGATCCATAAGTCACCTATTTGGACATAAAATGCAGCCCATTTCCTTTTCTTTTCAACATTCAATTGAATGAGCAATAATATAATACTTTTTTTTAAAACTGGGACACACCCTGGTTGGTATAAATAAAGTTGTGAAAACAGCGTGTAAAATTGTGCATTCTTGTGTCAGCCATAATCCGAGGGATTTCTGTTGCTGCATTTTTCTGCATCATTCACAAACACGGTTTTCTGTATTTTGGCTAAACAAATGATAATTTATGCTCCTCTTTACTGTTGGAGGAAATCAGATTCATCAAAAATTGTGATAGTCCTGTTTTAGTCCTGGTTTAGTCTTAGTTTAGTCCTGGTTTAGACCTGGTGCACTGCAAATTTCTCTGATCTGGCCAAGATTTTAAAACTTATATCAGGTTATTCAGCTTGTTTTCAGATTTATTATCTACTAATGGGAGCGTGCCTATGTTCCCACAGCTTTATGTTCCCTCAGCCCAGCTCGAGGTCACAGTACAAAGGACCCTAGGTTGAAATGACTCTGAATCACCCCTTTAAAGGCAGTATAAAAATAAAAATTACTTGACTTGACAAAAATCTTAGAAATAAGAAAGAAATGAGAGAACATAGGGTCTAATTTTCAAAATTGTCAGTGAAAAAAAAACAACAAAAAAACTGAGAAATAAGGGCCCACTGGGTTGTGGGGACATAGGTCTGATCCCCTACGTACTAGCTCTGAGACTGCTTCATTCTAGCCTAGAGGTAGTTTATTTCAATATAACTTGTCAAGTAAAATAATGTGTCCAAGCAGCACGATAATTTCACTACTTTTAAGTCATTTTCTGATAGACTTAAGTCTTACATCAAGCTTTTTTGCAGTGTGTTGTCCTGGTTCAGACCTGGAGTTGATCAAATTAGTTAAAAATGTGAACAACTGGGAATTTTTTTTCTATAAAACTGGGACAAATCACTGGTTTTTGGGCTTACGAGGCTCAAAATAGGGACGTGTGGTGCCATCTCTATGAATAATAATAATAAAACTATTTAAAGTTCTCACATGGACCAACTTAGCATTAGCTTTCCAGTTAGCTCAGAGTAGTTTTAATCATTCGTACGTACTTGTCAGGGACGAGTGTTTCCGGACACAGCCTGCTCGGATTGTTCTCGCAGATAAAGCTTTTAAAATGGAAATCATCTTTTATCCAGGTTGTTTTGTGCTTAAATATTTGCAGTGTCCTCCAGCCTCCAGCATGGATGTCAAAGCTATTTTCTTCTACTCATGTTTACATTCTAAGCACTACTTTGTGAACAACGCCACCTGCCGACCGGTCCCTAACACTGCAAGCAACAACATTCTTGGACTTTCTAGCTTTCTATGTCTCTTAATTGTTTTGCCTGGATAACCCTATGTCCTGTCAACAGTGTTGGGAAGGTTACTTTTAAAATGTATTCCCCTACAGATTACTGATTACAGATTACATACCCCAAAATGTAGTTTGTAACAGAATCCATTAAATTACTTAAAGTGAGTAACATAATCTGAATATTTTGGATTACTTGATTTGCTGTAGAGAAGCAAAGACTATGATATCTTCACATAAGATGTTTGGTTTGCTAAAAGAAAATGAAAAGGCAGAGTCTTTGAAAATATTATTGATAGAAGAGGAGGAGACACAGTCCGCGCAGCATGATTTAGTCCTGTTAAATCCTGTTTTAGACCTGGTTTAGTCCTGGTTTTGTCCTGGTTTAGTCCTGGTTTTAGACCTGGTTTAGTCCTGGTTTAGTCCTGGTTTAGTTCTGGTTTTAGACCTGGTTTAGTCCTGGTTTTAGTCCTGGTTTAGTCCTTGTTTAGTCCTGGTTTAGACCTGGTTTTAATCCTGCTTTAGTCCTGATTTTAGTCCTGGTTTTAGTCCTTGTTTAGTCCTGGTTTCGATCTAGTTTAGACCTGGTTTTAGACCTGGTTTAGACCTGGGTTTAGTCCTGGTTTAGACCTGATTTTAGACTTGGTTTAGTGTCCGGCAATGAGTGGAATTACAGAAAAAAAAAAAAAAAAAAGGGATATAGCCCCAAATGTGAAAACAGGAAAATACCGCCGTGTAATCCATTTATTTCATCAAAGTAATCCAATTACCACTCACTGAAACAGTAACTGTAACTGAATACAGTTACTCATAATTTGTACTCTGATTACATAACTCCAGCACATGTAATCTGTTACTCCCCAACACTGCCTGTCAATCATCATATCATTGTCACACTGTCTTCCTGTGACCTCTTGTATAAAACTGAGACTTTATTACTTATTTTTCTATTTTATTTTTAGTCTTTGGGAAACAATAGTGTAAAACTGTAGGGATTTTGTAGTAGGGATATTGTGTTGTATACATAAGACGTTAAAGGCCCATGTATTTGAGCACAATTTGTCTTCTTTCACTATAGATATATTGTATAAGCAGCTCATGAGGTCAAAATATATCTGCTGTGTGCTGTTTGCATCTAATTATAAAGTGTTTATTAGGGATGTAATGATATTCAAATTTCACGGTACGATATTGTTACGATTATTGCGATCTTTTGGAGAAGTTGGTATAGAAGTTTAGGTAGGACGCTTCTTGCTTTTGAAATACCTTGACAAGACTTTAGTGCGAATCATTACTGTCATAATCTCAAGAATTAAAGTAAAAAACTGGAATGCAACTCTATAAACCTTACGGTGTAACAGAGCATTTTCTTGTACATTTACATTTATATAATTATGCCTTATTTGACAGGTCTCTTGCTCTTTTTTTCTACTTATTTACAATTAATTATTACCATTTATATTTTTTCTCTTTGTTATGAAAAGAAATTGTGATGTGTGAGCTACTGTGTCCAAATAATTTCCCTTGTGGATCAATAAAGTTTGTCTAAGTCCATCCATCCATTTTCTTCCGCTTATCCAGGGACGGTTCGCGAGGGCAGCAGTCTAAGCAGGGACTCCCAGACTTTAGACCGCGGGGACTCCAAGGTGTTCCCAGGCCAGCATAGAGACATAGTCCCTCCAGTGTGTCCTGGGTCTTCCTCTGTCTTCTTCTGGTGGGACATGCAAGGAACATCTCCTGAGGAAGGCGTCCAGGAGGCATCCGGAACAGATGCCCGAGCCACCTCAACTGGCTCCTCTCGACGTGGAGGAGCAGCGGTTCTACTCCAAGCTCCTCTCGTGTGACTGAGTTCCTCACCCTATTTCTAAGGGAGCACCCAGCCACCCTGTGGAAAAACTCATTTCGACCGCTTGTATCAGCGATCTTGCCCTTTTGTTCTTGAGCTTTTGGGTAATGACCATAGATTATAGGTACCGTATTTTCCACACGATTAGGTGCTCTGGATTGTAAGACGCACTGTCATTAAATTAAATTAAATTACCCTACAAAAAAAGGCAATAAGAGCAATCACATTATCAACTTATAACGAACCAACCAATGAATTATTTATAAACCTTCAAACGCTGAAATTTTATGATTTAGTCGACCTTTACACTCTTAAAATCATGTTCAAAGTAAACAACAATCTCCTGTCGAAATCGTTACAGAACATGTTCAAAATCCGAAAGAGCCAATATGAGCTCAGAGGCACGACCATGTTTATTAAAAAGAAAATCAGAACAAACATTATGAAATTTTGTATATCTGTTAAAGGGGTGGAGCTCTGGAACAACTGTACAGAAAACCTAAAATTGTGCACCACTTTCTTTCACTTCATAAAGAAGTTTAAATGTTTAACTCTGGACAGATACATGAAATATGAGACTTAGTTTGTGCTGTAATACTTTGTTGTTCTGTTACTGATTAGCTTGTTTCTTCCTGCTGTATTTATGAAGATGAACTGGTGTCAAGATGACGCTCTGACAAAGGAATAAAGGGTAAAGGCATAATAAGCTTAAGCTTCAGCCTGCACCTTTTCGGTCTGTATATGTTAAATATGACTGTTTACGAATTAAAGTCAAAATATACCTGTGACCGAAATAAATAAATAAATAAAATAAATAAATAAAAATAAATAAATAAATGTTCTATTTTCAAACTTTTTTCACAAATAAACTGCACCGGACTTTAAACGAAACACAACAGTTGGATGGGTCAGTGGTTTTGTTTGTTTGTGGCGTTCACAGTGACTCTGGGCTTTGTTCAGTTGTGGCGTGTAGGGAGGGTGCTGTCTGGGTCCGCTGGATTGTCGGCGTGTTCGCAGTGACTCAGTTGTTCAGTTGTGTCTAGAAGTGGCACATTGCACTCACTTTTTCTGTTCGTTCCTCCGTTCCGTTCCTCGTCGACGTGGAGTGATGAGTGTGTCTGTGGGTGTTTGTCGCTGTGCGGTCACTGTCTGCTCCGTGTGTGTTTGTGCGCTCTGCAGGTGGTGTGGCTTTGTAGTTTACTGAAGTCGTGCTGGGACACCCGAGTGGATTCCTGTATAGGGCGCTCTGGATTGTGGGGCACGCGGTTGTTTTTCTGATGGGTTTGGAGGTTTAAGAGCACGTCTAATAGCCCGGAAAATACGGTAGTTTGTGAAAGTCTAAGTCTAAATTTGGCATTGTATTGTTAAAAATACCTTGAAAAACATGCATTCTTACTTTAAAAAGCTCACCACTCCATAGATCTGACCAGTAACTTGGTCCAGTGGCATTACCTGTTTGTCTCAATGAAAATATCTACAGTGACAATTAGGTGGTAGAGCTTCACCAGAAAGTTACACAGTGACTCTTTAAATCAGTATTCATAGAGCTACACTGCCCTACAAAGGCAGAATGTCGTAACATCACGTTTGCTCAAAAAATGAGTTCATGTCATTTTCGGTTATTTGAGACCTCCTTTTATCATGTGAATAAATACTGTGAAAAATATTGAGCTCAAAAGCGACATTTGACTCTTATTTGTCAGTTCCTGTTCTCTGCCTTTGTATCATGAGCCAAAAAATAAGGAGTCGTGCAAAAGGCAGAAACAGTGTAAGTTTTGTTTATGATTTAGTTAATAAATATATTTCATTTTAAAATCCAACCTCTCTCCTCCTTCTTTTTGTTGCAGCCTTGGCACAGGGTTCAATAAATAAACCTTTGTATTCAATTATACTTAAATTATCTTTAATGTGAAAGTATTTTGTGAATTTATTCATACTGAACACACTATACTGCAAAGTCACTTGTGTGTCAAACTGTTTCACTGTGAAAGTGGCGCCGCACGATCCCGATCAGCACTAAACAGGAAATCCAAAGCTCTTCTACATCATTTCGGACAAACTCCATGATGACTCGACCTTGGTGAGGTGTTTTTCTTATAATGGATGTGAGTCTGACAAAAATCAAGCAAATAATTATCATGTCAATAATGTTTCTGCCTTTTGTCTTTGCACGAATCCTTATTTTTGTCTCATGATACAAAGACAGAGCACAGGAACTGACAAATTATGGTCAATGTCAATTTTAGATCAGTATTTTTCACATACAAATATTTCTTCATTATAGCAACTAGTTGTCAAATTTTGGGAGCCCTACCTATTATACTTTTTTCTGGACAAAACAGAAACTTTTAAGTAGTTTTACTCATTTTCACACTCTGGCAAGTTAAGCCTTTGTAGGGCAGAATACTAGTCTTACAAGTACCTCTATTACAGTGGCAGAGTAAATCCAGTAAGTACTTTTAATTTCACATGAACTTCTATAGACTTTTTAGGTTTTTTATCACACATGACATTATTTTCTATGTAACATTAGTTATTTGAGAGGAATGTTTGACTTATTGCCTGTGTGAACAATACACAAGAGCATTAAGATGTAAATCCCTTTAATAAAACTCAATGAATCGCAGTGTAACAAAGGAATAGAATCCAACATAAGCAAGTAGATACATTTACAACCACAAAAGAAAAAAAAAACTGTACAACTCGAAATGCTTGGAGTCACTATTTTTAAGAATTTGTTTTTTTTTGATGTGAGGGGCGGGAGGTGTAGAGGAGCCATGAAATGTAATCTTTTATCAATTTCACTTTTTTTTATTGGAGTAACTAAATTGACATATGGTTCTTCTTTTTTTTTTTTTTTTTCCCCAATCGTGGCTGATCAAGTTGAGTCATTTTGGAGCAGGACTATGGGGGGGAGTGGGTGTATGTTATTTGTAGAGGATGTCATAGTGGCCGGGCCGGTACAGGAGGAAGATGCGCGGATCTCCTCCTTCGGGGAAGACGTGGTGATTGACAGTCCCTCCCTCTCCTCTGTCCATGTACTCCACCAGGATGGCCACGTCCAAGGCCTCG